CAACCTGCAACGTCTCTTCTTTCTTCCCTTTCTTCTCCTACAGAACATGAAATGGTTCAACTGAAATTTGACTAACATTATTTTATGTTTACCCTAGCTAATGCGATTACATGCAAATGCACAGGAAACATATGTTTGAGTCATTTTCATGAATGCTGAAATAATTTGGACACTGCTTATTTGAGAGTGGATACCTTAATGCCTCTATATTACCTCATGTTCGTGTTCTCAAGCAGATCAGCAAGCCATGGCCAACCAATATTAGATTAGTAGATTGCCTTTGGCTGAAAAATACCTCAGGTTTTTCTAAGTTACTTTGCAAGTACATTTCTTTGGGAACATGTAGATCCACCACACAGCCATTTCATAGCAATAGTAAAGAATAACACAGTTATTAAGTGTTAGTATTTTAGAGTGTTGTTTTATAACAATACCTAGGTATCTACCTTAGTGTGAGAAGAGCAGCTCTCTAGAACGCACTGACAATACTATGTACATATCTACATCCACAGCATGAACTTAAAGGCCAAGCTCAATTGTAGACACCTGGATTTATCTGTTTAATTCTGAAAATGAATCTCTCAATCATTCTGAGACCAAAAGGAGCTCTTACATGCGAGCCACAGCCTTCCGTGCCAATTTACGCTGTAATCTGCGGTTTTCGTCTGTATCACGAAGAACATGATCTTCAGCTGCCCATCGATCCCAGCTGAGCACAGGGAAAAATACAATTAACAACAGCTACAAATACATGCCACGCATGATTACTAATGAACTAATACATGTTAAATCTAAAAAGCACTTTATAATGTCATGCAGAAGCAACATCTGTATCACAACGTTGGCATTCTTCTGTATGCACGTGGCTTCAACTCTCACATTGCTATCTAAAATCTCTCAAGCTTTGACTTAACTTGTGATAGCATTTATAGCACTGACACGTTATACATCACAGCCAGAGGCTGCACTCATATACTGGCCTTGATAACCAAACAATCCAAGTCTAGAATCAATAAAATATAAACTTTTATTAATGGAAACCTAGGAGCCAAAAGTGTATGTCACTGACAGGTACCCCATAAAATTTAAACTCATGGCCATCAAACTGCTTCACTGAAATTTATGGATACAGACCAACGTGTCAACATGAGCAAGTCTACCAATGGCATTCACAAAAACAAAAATGCTCCTGCAAACTCAGTCCTTTGATATTCTGTGCAATGCCTGTCTTTGCAGCATAAAATAGGAGAAATGGAAGATCTGAAATCACACATACAAGTTCTTACCTTCTGTTCCAACCGTTAAAATGGATCAGATATTCTGGAATCTTTCTGCCTTTCTCATCTTTTCCAACAACAATATCAACAATCTGAAACAAAATATTGAGTAGTGTGTGTTGAAAAGCTTGAGAGAAAGTAAGCCTTACAGTATTTAGGGAGTTTATGTGCGAAGAAAGAAAATTAAATATATGGAAATGAAACAGATCTGTTATTTTGCCAGTTAATATTGATATGAGCAGAAGATATGGAAAAAGAAATAGTCAGAAATACTAGCTTTCTTGTTCAGTACTTTTAATGCTGGGGAGTGCTAACCATTTTTGTCCTGTCCTCAAATGTCTCATGCTTTCATGACAGGAAAAGGGAGATGCCAAACAATGCAGCAGCACAATAAAGACATGCAAATCTGGGCTACTAATGTTTTCTCTTGTGTGCTGTCTCCTCATGCCCTCAAAGCAGGAAACACAGTTCTCGGTATATAAATCTCAGAAATGCTGCTCACTTGAACACCAAGGCTCTCAGCCACAAAATATTAAAAGGCTTTGTGAATATCTGAGCCTTTTTCCACTTTCACACATATGATATGGGCCAGTCTAAAAGGGCCTGCAACTCAGATATTTCAGGTGGATCATTAAGAAAGCATCAGTACTAGCAATAATAAAGGAATCATACTACCTGCACTAGAGTGGCTGTCAGTAGAACACATAATAGCAGTTAGGCTGCTGTAATGCCTTAATTTGGTAGACTGGAATTTAAGAATCACTGATAGATTCAAGGACAGTTATGCTGTTTAAGGTACTTGAAAGTAAAGAATAAAAGGCACTATACATTTTTGCACTCAGGTTACCTCTAGGAATAGCAATTAAAGCTGTTGGGGTTGTCAGAACACAGGAATATGTGTACAAATGGAAGGGCAGCACAAAATATCATTGGCTGGTGGCATTCCTAATTAATTAATGTTTGAAAAACACAAACCCACACGACTAGCAAACTTGCAGCACAAAGAATTAGTCTGGTCAAGAATGCAGTTGCAATAGTTCCCTTTTCATCCCTCGCTGTAACAAAACAAAACACAACTCTGTTTGCAACAATCTGTTGGGCACAGATGATTTTGGATTGAAAAATAATCTCATGTACCGCTGATACCCTAAAGCAATACTCTATTTACATACAGCTCTATAATTACTACCCCTATTCTTACGGTCAGGCCTAATTGGGTCAGTCACCTCTTCCTGCACCACTACTGGTTCCCCCGCGCGCTGTTCGCTCTCCTATTTCCGTCCCCTCTCCCGCACCCGCAGCACCGCTCCGACCCCTCTGCCAGGCAGAAGGGCGGGCAGGACGCGTGGGAAAGCGGGAACAAATCCATCTACGCTACAAAACCGCAGGTGTGAAAACAAGATTGCAGAATTACTTAGCAGGTGTTCCGCCGAGAACGGAGGGCGGGAAGCGAGT